GAATTCCTTCTTGAATATGGCCCTGCATATTCATGTAGGGAGGCCCTCTCCTCCCCATTTCTCTCGGTTAGCTCTCTGATGTCACCTTCTACTATTTTTATCAATTGCTCAGCCCTTTCCAGAAATTGGACTTCTTTCTTGAACATGCCCTGCCAGGCACAATCTGATCTCAGTACTCTGCACTAGCTCCTACTTCTGACAGGAATGCTCTTTTCCTGGTATCCACATAGCTCCCCTCCTATACCTCCTTCAAGTTTTCTGCTTCCAGGGTCACCTTAGCAAGGCCTCCCCTGTTTTCCCCATTGGTGTTTTACTAGGTGTTTAAAATACCTATCTTCTATCCCCATCATTGCTTTCTTTCTTTTTTTAAATCTTTTTGTTAAGTAAATTTTTAAACATACACAAATTTAGAAATATTAATATAAAGGCCATTCCTCCCCCAGCTATCATTCAGGATCAATAATTATCAATACTTTTGCAATTTTATTTTTTTCACAAATACTTTAGTCTGCTTCTTAAATACCTGTTTTTTTGGAACACAGGCATCATGCCATCATCAAATCTAACAAAACTAATAGTATATAATGCCGGTTCATATTCAAGTTTCCCATTTGTCTCAAAGATGTCTTATTATAGTTGATATGTTTGATTTAAGGATAAATACATTGTACATGTTGCTTTACTCTTTTTTCTATACCAATATATTTTGCTTATTTATTTGCTAATTTCCTGGCCCTCTCTCCATTAGAATATCTACTCAATGTGAGTAGTGATTTTTGTCTGGTTTGTTCTTTGCTATATCCCAGCACCTAGAACAGTTCCTGGTATCTATAAGATAAAATGTAGAAGGAAGGAGTGAATGTAGTTGGCGACATGGATGTAATATCTGAAGGGGTATGCTGTGTCAGCATGGTCAGATTTATTACTTTCCCTCTCTAAAACTTTGCCCAGTTTTTTGAGCCTCAATGTTCTCATCTGTAAAATGGGACTAATGATACCAACTTGCAGAGTTGTGTTGATTAGACAAAAACAAGGAGACAGTGTCTGGCAGCCAGAATTCTCTCAAAGTATTTTTGTTTTTCATTGTAACTGCTTTTGTTACAAAGGCATATCTGTGAGACATTAGAATATGAAGGAAGTGTAGTGAAGAACTTGGCCTTGCCCCAAAATGAGGTCTGGCTTTTGTCTCTGGCTCCTGGGAGGTAGCCTCTAAACCTTTGGAGTTTTCTGAGTGATGAGAATGTCTTTTTATCCTCCTTGGTTACCCTTGATGGTGTATGCTGTAAGGTGACTACTGGTAGACCCTTGAGCTATGAGCTCTCATTCCTGCTTCTGGGGTGGGTTCAAAATGACAGTAAACACTTTTGCACAGTGTTTACCTCTTAGAAATAATATGAAACTTGGTGTCCAGAGATCTTACTTTAAATCTCATCTTCACCATTTTCTTTTTGACTTTGGAATTTGGATGCCTGGACTGCCAAATGGAATACCAATGACTGGGAGCTAAAGCAACAGAAATTAATTTTCTCACAGTTCTGGAGGCTGGAAGTCCAAGACGAGGGTGTCAGCAGGTTGGTCTGTGGCGAGGCCTCTCCTCTGGCTCACACACAGCTGCCTGCTCACTGTGTCCTCACCTGGCCTCCTTCCATGGCCCATGCAGAGAGAAGTATGTGGTGTCTCTTCCTCTTCTGAAAAAGAGCAATCCTGTTGGGATAGGGCCCCACTGATATGACCTTTTTCAACCTAATTACCTCCATAAAGGCACTATCCCCAAATATAGTCACATGGAGGGTTAGGACTTCAACATATGAATTTTGAGATATATAATTTTGAACATTACAGAAATGTTGCTTAATTTTGGTTTTCTCATGTAAAAGTTCTAATGCTAGGTACAAAATCTTAATGCTATTTTACAGGAAACATTTGCTCTGAAGATCAAACAGGGAGATACATGTAGTAGACCCTTTGTACTTGATTTTTAACTGTGTGTCAATTTATTTTTTCAGCCCCTGCTATACAATTGACTATTGAGAGGAGATACTGAAGGAAATGTAGAATTTATATGAGATTACATATGTGCTTACAAATTGATTTTCAGCATTTGTGAACTACACTAAGGAATTTTTGGAAAAGGTAAACATTTGCCTCCTGGATTTATATGCATTCTTTTCACAATAAACACAAATTTTCAGTAAACTACTTTTAGTCATGACTGGTGGGATTGGATAGCACCAGAAAGCGATTTATGTCAAAGAACTTTGAAATCGATAGTGTAACCCAAATGTGTAACGTTATTCTTTTGAATTATATTTATATACTGCATCTCACTCCACAAGGCTTCAAAGTAGTTTCCCCAAATCCCCCAAACTGCATTTTGTTGTTTGACTTTTCTGTGGCTTATTGACATCAGTCATGAGTCATGGAGCTAGAATTTGAGATGGTTGTCCTTTGTGTGTGTCTTGCCAATGGGTTTCAGCCCCCAGAAAGTTTAGTATGGATTCAATGAGACCAAGGAATGACAATGGAACATTCTTGAAGTAAAAGGGTTTATTGCTAGCGTGTTTTTCCAGCAATAGGCTGAGCACTAGAATTACGTCTGCATCCAACAGTCTGCAGGTCTGTAATCCTCCTCCTTCTCTGCCTTTGCCCAGAGCACTGGACAGAGCTCTTTATATAACGACTTGGTCAATAATGGCTTATTGCCTGTGGGTGGGGAAGCAGTAGCCTAGCAGCAGGCCAGTTACATCATTGAGTAGTTTAGGGTCAGGTGAGGATCCTGGCTATAGAAACTTCCATTTTCCCCACAGTGTGACTGTGAGAATGGCCAGTTAAAAGAACTTTTAGGTCGCAGTTGGCCTGACACCCTGTGCAAAGCTGACACCTGTCGTAACCTAGACTATGTACATAACCAATGTCTTACTGTGTGCAAACAACATTTGCCACACAATCTAGGTAATTTTCTCTATGTGAAAAACAAGGCAGCATCTGGTGGTACAGAAATCCTAATGATATTTCACAGAGAACATTAGGTGTGTATTCTACCATGAGCCAGTGTCCATGCCTTCTAGCCCAAGGCCACCAGGAACATGTCAACAGTTGTGTCAGTGCGTTCATTCTTGCAGCAGAGGAGAAAGCACATCATTAAGGACCTGAGGGGCTTCTCAGTAAGGGGGTATTAGAAAGAACCTGTTCTAGGATTTGGTGTGTTTTAGGTAATTTTGTGGCAAGTTAGGGAAGCAGGAGTTCACTTTGGATTGAATGCCATGAAGCAGGGGTTAATTCTATTACAAAAAAAAAAAACAGGAGAGGGGCCAGTAGGGATGGCAGGGGTAGTGGGCTGACTGGAAGAAGGTGAACACAATTTATGAAGCAAAGAATGTATTTTGCCCATTTGGGGGGTGGAATGGGCAAGCAGTAGGCCATTTATCTGGGGTGGATGGTATATGGAGTTAGTTGTGGGTAAAAAGGGGCAAGCAATAGGTTGGGGCCAGCTTATAGAAGGCCTTGAATGTAGGAAATGGGGAGCCATTGAAGTCACTTGAAAAGGGCACCAAAAATCACAAAAAATATTGACGGACTCACAGCTCATACTGTTGTTTCTACTAAGGTAGTGGCTTTCACACTATTCTGACCATAAGTTAACAGTGAGGAATACATTTTACACTGTAGCCCGGTATATATGCACACTTGTGGGGAACACGCATGTACATACACCCCTGAGACTTCAGTTTGACAAAATAAGATTTAGCCTTACTATGTGTGCTGCACTCTATTTTCCACGCCATTCTACTACCCTCTACCTCTCTCTGCTCTACCTCATTCTGTTCTGTTCAATGCTGGTTTTTACCCACCAAATTGATTTTAGTTCCTACTAAAAAATGGCTTGAGGTTTGAAAATACTGCTCTAAGCAGATGAGTCACTGTGGTGAGGGGCAACAGGAGCAGGAGGGCTGTTAATAAATAGGTAACAGCAGTAGTTCATTTACAAAAGAATTCACTGATTCATCCCTTGAACAAACATTTATTAAGCACCTACTACATACCAGGCATGAAGATACAAAGATACCCAGACCTGGTAGTGCCCTTGGAAGAGGTCTTGGTCCGTGGGAGAGACAAATAGCCACTTCACTCTTGTAAGTCTTCAATAGATATTTGAGAAAATATCATAGGATGGTTTAACTATTTGAGGAAAATGGGGGAGGATTTATAGAGAAAAGGGTGTTTGAGGTGATTCTTGAAGGCTGAGTTTGCCAAGGGCAGCGGACTGGTGGAGTGCCTCCTCAAGTATAGGATAATGTGACAAAAGGAGCACAAAGGTTGCCAGATTTAGTAAATAAAAACAGAGTGTACCCAGTTAAACTTGGATTTCAGATAAACAATGAATGGTTTTTGGCATAAGTATGTCCCATCCATCTGGGAGAGGCAAGATGTTCTATGTGGCTGGCACATAGGTGGGCATGGGAAAATGGGGGATGTATGTCTGGGGTGCATTGGGATTGTGTCGTGAAGGGTTTTGACAGAATAAGAATCTCCCCTGTGGCTCATGCTCACACTGAAGGCTAATTTGAGGATAATTTTAGAATGCTTGAAAAGAAACTAAAGAAGTACACGCAGAAAAATATGTAACCCTTGGGTTTTAGCTTATTAACAATAAAGGTAGAATCCTAGTGTGTAGGTGGAATGGTTATTTATTATTAATGATTATTAATTGCATGTGAGTAATTCCTTCTCATGTATCCTGCTGATTTTGTTTCTAAGATGCCTTTGTCCCTGTGTTTAGTGCAGAAGAGGAAATGAACACGTTATTTTTCATGTATACTGATTTCTAACTCTAACCTGAAGCTACATTTAGGTTAACAGAAATGGAATGAATAACGTTTTATTTCTTTGTGTGATCAACCAAGTACATCTTTGCTTTGTTTAAGCAATCTTTCAGATGTAATAGATACAGGTTGCCTAGCCTTTATCCTACTTCCCCTATCCCTGGCCCCTGTTTGTGGGAACTGCTTGCCATCCTCATCCACTCTCACAATCTCATAGGGTGGCCCCTGGCTGGCCAGGGGGACACCTGACCCAAGTCATACCGGGCAGAGTTCAGTCTCTCTTCTTGTAAATGTACTTCTGACTTGCCGCAGGAGCTCACAATAGCCACTTTTCACTGCCATTTGGACTGGAAAATCAGAGGAAGCCAGTCTGGAAGGCAGGAGGTGGCTTGGGCAGTGGTTCAGTGGAGGAAGGATAGAAAATGTGAGCACTTGTGTTAATGCAAAAACATACTGGAGAGAGATCAAGAGAGAACGAAGAATCAAGAGACACAGAAAGCCAGTGAGGAACACAGGGAGGGAGGGAGAAAGAAAGGGGTTTGGTTGCATTCCTATCTTAGGGTTTTGTGAGATACCTTTTACCTTCTGGTGTCCTTACGCTTAAGTAGACTACAGTGGATTCTGTTACTTGAAACAAGGGTGCTAATTAATAAATCAGACCACCAAAGTTATATTGAAAACCACTCTGATTATCACAGTTTAGTGGGGATTGAGAAGGGTCTTTACTCACCAGGTGGAAGTTGACTGTGAAACTCCCTCATGGCAAACAGGAAGGAGCATGGCTTTCATGAAACTGTCTGTGTGTATTTCTGCACATAACAAAACCACCCAGGCACACAGTTTCTTTTTTTCCTGGAGCTAGTTCTGGATTTGTCTTAAGAAAAGCCCATGTGCTTAATTTGGAGCCAGTTTGTTTCGGTCGGTTGAGGAGTTGTCTTGTGGTACTTTGAACACTAAACAAATCAGTTTTTCCCAAGGTGTGTTCTATGTTCTGTTACACTAGTAGTTAGCCATGGGAAGAAAGTGGGGAGGGCAGTTCCGTGGTCAGGTCATGTCTGGGTTAGGTAAACCACTTTGGATGGCTTTGCAGAGCCTCTACGATGCTAAAATGCACTGTGGATTTCTGAAAGGGAGAGAGCTGATGTAGCATTTCCTAAACGCTATCAGCCACAGAGTGGAGTATTGCACCAGACTAGTGTCTCTCAGGACGCACTGTGGGATAGGACAGCTGAGCAGGTTGGGTGGGCGGCCGTCTCTCCCGTGTAGAGGAGGTGAAGCCTCCTGTCCAGTGCCTCTGGCACAATAGCTTTGCTCTCCAGATGACAAGAAAATGAGCTGACTGCCAGTGATTCTCCAATACGGACTATATTTCTAAGAGAAAAACAGATTATTTATGAAAGCATCACCTGGGAGAAAGAGAAATCTTGGCTCAGTGTCTGCCTAGAGGAGGGGGCCCACAGACAAGAGCTCCATGGAGAAAATTCATGTGGTCTGTAAACTTGGGTGGGAAGGAAACTAACCTCTTTCTTTTCATCAACCTCTGGCTGATATTTAGCATTTCCTTCAGGTTCCAGTAGTATGAGCAGAGCTGCGACTGTCAGCAACAGCCATCAGAGAGACAGTCACATTACATTACATTGCTGTTACTGCAGGCTTCTCAAAATTTCATTTATCCTTCCAGCTGCTTTAGAATTATGGTAATTATTGGGCCTGCTATTAGAGATCTTGTTATTTAATGCATTCATAAAGAAGAAAATTTGACCCAAATGTTTTTGATAACAACTCCACGCCAAGCACATTGCCTGGCCTAGGGAAGAGCATAATGAATACTGGCTGATGTTACCACCAGCTCCATCACCATTGCCAGACTTTGTTCTCTATCTCACTTCAATCCCAACTTCAGAAGGCAAAGCAGGCATGTAATAAACACTGGTAATATAAGATTCAACAACCTGCCTTGTTGCTTCTTTTGCATATGATTACATACCAGAAAAATTCAGGATTTACAAGAGCCATTAACTGAGTAGTTAATGCTCCTCTGTCACAATGGTTTCCATATGTGGTAATGGTTACGTGTGGGGAGTCAATGCAAACCTTCACCTAGTTCCTTGGGGAGCAGGTGGCCTGGCCAAGGACCAGAGCACCCACATCAGGTCTGGCTGGGGCTTTGGAGGAATGAGTGCAGGAACGTTGTCATGGCATGTGGGGTAGGGAGCAGAAACCCCGTGAATACTCCGTGGAGCTCCTGGAAGTATCTACCCCCTGGAGAAAGGCTGGGCTAGGGCAGAGCTGGATTCTGCTATTGGGGTG